TGTACATATTCATATGCATCACCTACGTAGTCATTGATCATGCTAGAAAGATAACCTAATCTATTATTTGTGATTTTGCTAGCTCGAAGCTTGTTTGTCTCACGTTCGATGGAGTATATTAACAAGACCCGTATAATCCTTTTCAACGTTAATAATGGCCTCTGACCTTACTTTTTCCATTGGTTCTGCTATCGTAATTTAAAGAGGAAGATGTGTCAATCGATGATTTTTGAAACCTCTTATAATACTACTGTTCTCAAGGTTTTCAACTACATCTACAAATAGCAATGGGCCGAGGTGAGCCGACTCAGATTAAGCTATAAAAACACGAGCTCAGCTCGTTTGGATCGAATTATGCATGTTGTTAGAGTTTGATACGATAAATAAGCTTGTGGGCCTATAGGTCGAGCAGAACTATCCCACGAGCTTCTCATCTTTTTATTTTTTATTAAAAACTACTTTTTGAAAATCCTCATTTTGTGGGTTTGGGAACAATTACATTTAATATAGTGAAGTTAAAATTTTACACAAACAAATTATTATGTGTACAATTTTTTTTTTTATAAAAGACAAATATTTAAGAAAATTAGACCGCGTTTGGTTTGCTGTTTTCAAATTGTCTTCAGTTTTGGAAAATACTGAAAACATGTGTTGTTTAATATTTTTGAAATGCTTTTTTCGAAAACATGGTTAAACTTAAAATGCATCTTTAAACATTTTGAGCGTTTTTAGTACAAATTCTGAAAACACTCAAAACAAACGTTTAAATAAAATTTAAAAAATTAATTATTTAAAATGTGAAATTTTAAAAAATAAAAAATAAAATTGAAACAAAAAATTCTAAAATTCTGAAGATTAAGAAAGTAAAATTCTAAAATATATAAAATAAAAAAAAAATCTTAGAAAAGTAAAATTTTAAAAACTTTTAGAAAAATAAAATTACAAAAAAAATAGTCTAAACTCTTAATGATTATTTACATGAAAATTATGATTAAAAAAAAGGTTAAATGAACACAAATGAAATATTCTCAGTCCAAGTCATTAATTTTTATTTTTATTTTCTATATTTTTAACTCAATTTATTATTATTTTTAATTTTATTTTTGTAGTGAGAAAAAATATTGTAAGATTCACAATTTTAAAATCTATATATTACCAGATAATACATTAGCATAAACAATTTCTACTTTTACTCAATAATCAAATTTCATAGAATAAAATGTTATAAAATAATTTTTAAAATTTCAAACCAAATGTGTTTTTTAGTTTTATATTTTGAGAAATAATTTTTGAAAATAACAAACTAAATGTGTTTTTAACAATTTTAAAATAAACCCTCAATACAAAAAATAGGAAATGAACTCAAAACTCAAAATTGAAAATTGAAACACAAACCAAATGACCCCTTAACATTCACAATGACAAATTATGATAAATTCACATGTAATTTAGCTGGTCATCTAGTATTTTATCTAATTTATCTTAGACTCGAATCTATGCTGCCTCCTAATCTTTTGAACACATTAAACTCTCTAATATGTAATTTTTGAGTCTAAATATGTACTAAAACAAGACCTTGTACACTAAAAGCAGACTTTGATGCTACAGTATTTACCAGAGCTGTTAGTAGATCACATGCTATAAGAAAAAGAATCGTATATTGACACTCGTCTATTTTCCAAAAATTTAGAAAGTCTAATTTTTTGCATGTACTGGCTCTAAAATATTAATCCCCTATTTGAACCCCATTATTCAAATATTCATTATTTTTTCTAACTCATTCTCAACCAAACATTCTATCAATAAAATAATTTGCACGTAAATTCAAAAGTTTCCTACTTTTTAGCAACACATTCTCCAAAAAATCACTGTTAAAAAACTTTTTTTTTTTTTTTTTGTGAAAAAATGGGGCTCAAACAAATGCTATGCATATTGTTAGCAAAACGTCTAGTTAATTCTAATGGTATTCCACCTGTACTTTTATTTCATGTACTTAGTTGAGGGAAAAAGAATGAGTACATGCATATGTATTAATTCAAGTAGTACTAACCATTGTCAATAATTCTATCTCGAAGTCTTCAGCATTAGCATCGGCATCGACTTCTTGTGATGACATAGTAGGCTAAACATTGGTACGAGCGATCCTTGGAAATTCCTACCAGATCTTTAGACATACATCTCATACATTTCATATAAATTGCTCTCTATATTACCTTGGTAATTAGAGTTTCAGAATTTCATGAATTTGAAATTCAAGTTATAACGACTTTTGTAACCTCTAAATTATACCTAGAGTCCACTATATAAGCTAACCGGAACAACATAAACAAATCCTGACAATATTTTATAAACTTGAAATCCATTGATACTATGATATAACAATAAATGGGTGTGTTATAATATCTGAATTTTTAAGCAACATAATTGTCACGCATTTTATGCAACGTGAATTATATCGCCAACGTACGGTGTCAAGTTTTGTAATATAGTAAAAAAGTTAGAGTGTCGAACTCACATGGATTGTAATTTAATTCCACTAAATACTATAATTATGTAACTTCTATTTTATCTAGACAATTGATGAATGATCGATTGATTGTTTTAAAATTTAAACTAATCAAAGGTAAAATGATACGACAAAATTGGAGAAAATAATTGTCAAAATGAGAAAGCATAGGGAGTGATTTCACCAACTTTCA